AAGTTTGATAATTGCAATTACCTCATCTTAACTTTCTGATATAGTTACAAGTAGAATCCCTTTGCTAGAATCGTCTAAAAGGAGGCATAAAAATGTCCAAAAAAAACCCATACATGTATTTTTGGCCAAAATGTTTATTTTCCAAATTTTCTCTTTATATAAATCACTAGCCCAAACCCTCCAAATCTCTTTTCTGAAATTAATTTAATTTTCAAATTTGCCCTTCATATCAATTTCTCATAGCCTCAAAGGTAAAGCTATCTTTAAACTTTCTCCTTTTTCATTGTTTATAAAGTTTGTATTATTTTTTATGTAGAAACTAGCCTCAATAATAATTACATGGGTATTTTGGACATTTTCATGCCTCTTATTAGCAATAGTCAACAAGATGAGGCAATTGCAATTTGCAATTACCAAACTTCACGGGAGATTTCAGCAACAGTCAAAAACTTCAAGGGAGGTTTTAACAATTGACCCTTTATTTTTTATCACAAACAAATACGAAAAAAATCAAAATATGAAACAAGTGTAAATCAGAATTTACACATGCCACCTATTAACAATAGTTTGAAAGTTTAGAAGAGGTGATTGTAATTACCAAACTTTAGGGGAGGTTTCAGCAATAGTCAGAAACTTTAAGGGAGGTTTCAACAATTTTACCCTTTATTTCTTTTTATCACAAACAAATAGCAAAAAAAATCAAATATGAAGCAAGTGTAAATCAGAATTTACATTCAACCAATTTGTAATCACATACATTTATACTAGTGCAAATGAAATTTGCATTGTAATCGAACAAAGCCTAACCAGCAAAAGGTTAATAAAAAATCATCATCATCTAAGCCTTGTCCCAACTATATAGTTAGGGCTGACTAAAATCTTGTTTCACCATTCCATTATGTTTGTTAATCAATGATACTTTTGTTAATACATGGGATCATATGGCTGCAACCGGATCATATCATATTGAATATTACTTAAATTTAAATTTAATTCATTAATATTTGAATTTGAAACAAATCTTATCTGATTGATTTATAACAAATTTTGATCAAAACTTCAGTCAGTTGGGACTCTTGATTTACGATTGATGATTTTTTTACTCAAAATTTTGGAATTTGGGGCAATTTTTTCAATAAACTTATAATCATTTTAATGACATTTGGTAGTTTTTTCCAGGATATTTATATCGTGTGATTTACCTACATTGAGCCGGAAATCAACTTGAAAATATGATGGTAACTGTTATTAAATGGTGAGAAGATGCTCAATTGTCAACTATTAGAAAGCTCTAAAGACAATAAATAAGCATACAGTTAAAACTTAAGAAGTGATCTGATCTAAAGGTATTAATGGACCGGTTTTGGATTGGACCCTTCCAGCCCAAAACCAATTTGGACGGATTGGATGGACCAACAAGATATATTGAATCAGACCAATTCGATCCAAAATATTTATTAGATTGGATTGGATCTGATCAATTCATAATAAATTTATATTGGATTGGGTTGGATTAAGCCAATATCTGGTTCATTGATATAAGATAAGAATATAGGTGTCAATGAACCAGGTTTAGATTGAAACCAATCTAAATCAAAACAAGTTTGAACAGATTGGATGGTTCAGACATTAAATTAGATCGGTCCAAATGGTTTAAAATATTCATTGGACTAGATTAGACCAGGTCCATTTATAATGGACTCACATTGGACTGGATCGGATTGGACCAAATCCAGTCCAATTGACACCCCCTGAATTTCTGATCAGTAATGAATTTTTGTGCATTACTCTTTTAAGGGAGGACCCCACGGTCCCATTCTTCTTACCATGCGCAAATGTCATCCTGATAGGTTCTCAGCTCTTGTAGCAATAAATTTCTATAGCAGCCTTTCAGAGAAATTCTGGGGTATATGTGAGATTTTCCACAAGATCATCATTTGACATGATACTGCCTTTAAAAATTAAATGAGAAAACATATAGAATATTATAGACATGGACTCATGATATAAAGGGACGAATAGGGTTTTAATAGATGGATTCTCCTTTTGAAAAGGAAAGCAAAGGACCAAAATGGCCTTTATGGTAGGGAACAAAGCAAAGTTATTCCCCTTTTCAGGGGCCGGCATATAAAATTTGAGAACATGACTTTGCAAAGTTGATTTCAGTCTATTCCCTCTCTTCTTCCTTTGTTTTCAACCACGTCAAACATAGCCTATCTTGTGTATCGTATAGGTGGTTTATTATAATACATATATAAATCTATTTGTATTAATTTCATACATAAGTGACCAAATAGCGTTTTAAATCAGATGATCTTAGTTAGGGATGGCAATTTTTCCTGTCCCTGCTTGGTATTGCCGATGTATTAGAGATCGGTTTCGGTCAGTGCAAACCTAGTGTTTATATCCTTAGAATAGCCTCTTGCAACCTTATATTAGAAATATCTCCTCATAAAATAAAGTACATAAGTACGGAAATACTCTCTATGTAAACCTGTAAAGGCTGTTGAAACGGGCATTGCATTGACCGAAGCCGAATTCATGTATGGCAATGGAGACTGCTTGGTGTTGACGGAGAAGGGGAGTGAAGTGCTTACCTGTTGCCCCACCCCTAACACGATATATATATTATACTTATTTTCATTTTTTACTTTAAATAAATCTTTTTTTCCAAAAATTTGATTAAATATTCAAGAATTCGGATCTAGAGAAAAACCCATTCCCATTGAGATCGGCAATCAATGAGAATAACCGAGCCATCTTTTTTGGGTACATCTCTAAAGAATGAGAATAATCGAGCCTTGTGTTCTGGATTATCTTTGCTTTCTTATTGAGTGCAATAGTATTAAAGAGTGGGTTTAAAGAATTTGTGGATCTTTTATATGGGACGCTCCACAGTTGCAGCCAATGACCTTCACAAGGTTGCAGAAATCTGAGGGGTGGAGGCGGTTAGGTGGTTGGAGAGAGGACTTTGAGCTTATGAAGGAGAGGCGGGGGAGGGGGTGAATTAAAGCTTCGTCGCTTTTTGATAAGTTATTTATATGGGTAAATGCATTTACCCACGTAAGTGTTTTCCAGGAAAGACTTACCCGGGTAAGTGTATTTACCCATGTTCTTTTTATTTCCCATGTAAATAAAGAAATGATTATTTTAGCTATAAAAATATAATGTTAAAAGGGGTATTTTTATCCCACTCAAGTGTTGGTAACTTTTCCCTCAAGTGGAAAAGTTTTTTATCCACCTAGGAGAAGGAAAATAAACTTTCCCTGATCCCCACATAAATCTGAAAAAAGAATATGGGTTTCTTGGTCAATTGGAATCAAAATTCCATTGACCAACTTTCCTCCCTCTCAAAATCTGTAAAAAAAACACCCCCTAAATAGGGGGAGAGATTTGAGAGGCGGGATTTTAGGTATTTCAATTTTTTTAAAGTGCAGACATCGCTAAGGTCTTGACTCCGTCAAGTTTAGTTTAATGCTTGTAACTTGTAAGCAAGAATGATGTGGCACAAATTCATTTGCAGTTGTAGAAATTTTTCTGCAACATGGATGCAGAGGATGTGAGCTCAATTTTTCTCCCTGGCGACGATATTGATTGGGGTCAAGGATAGGGACTTAAAGTAAGTATGATTTCCTCCGGAAACCTGCCCTGTTGCCATTCCTAATCTTGGGTCTTGGCATGCCGGCAGTTGTAGGCCTATCAACCCCTTTATTGTCCTAGGCATTTCTACTGCATTAGCCCACTTGCTGGGGGCCAGGCTTGGATTTTTAGGTTGGGACGTTGGGTAGGACCGCATCCATAGCTGCCGAGTTCCAAAAAGAGTCATTTGGCACTAACCAACTGACCGAGTATTTTCATCATAACAGCCTGTCTACCAAACTAAATGATCTCAAGGCTCCAGTAAGTAAAGACTTTCTGTATGAATCTCTTTCAGAGACGTGGAGATAATTGGCCAGTCCAGGTAAGATCCTTCTTTTGACATATAAAAGGAAAGGGACTGCAGAGTGAACTAACCACATGAGGACGGTTTTTAGTCCAGATGTAGAATGGAGCCCTTGATGCAGGTTTCAAATCCTTTTGCAACATGACTCATCTAGAAACACTGCACCTCATGTTTACTTTATCCAATTGTTTGTTTATTATAAAGATCAATGCCTTGGTAGGTTAGAAGTTTGAGATAGAGAAGTAAGGAAAGCTAGAAAGGAATTGGGTTGTCAAGACAACTGGCTAAAGAAAATGCTGTGCCCTATTTTCGAATTCAGCAATAGCCAATAGTATGTCCAGATCTGTTGCAAAGACTTTGCTGTTTTTCGGGTCACCAGACCCAGTGACAGCTAACAAGGCCTGTGTTTCGGGCCTTACGGCTCATGCCAACATTAGGCACCACCCAGTCTATTGGTGTCAATTGAACTGGTTTTGGTTCAATCCAATCCGGTCTAATGTGAGTCTATTTTACAAATAGACCAGATCCAATGATTATTTTGGACCATTTCAGATCGGTCCAATTTAATGTCTAGACCATCCAATCTATTCAAATTCGTTTTAATTTAGATTAATTCCAACCCAAATCTGATCCATTGACACCTAAATTCTTACCTCCTATCAATGGACTAGATATTAATGGCTCGATACAATCCAATCCAATATAAATTCATCACAGATGAACCAGATCCAATCCAAACTGATAAATACTTTAGACCATTAAGTCTGGACTGTCTAATTCAATGTCTTGTTGGTCCATCCAATCCATCCAAATTGATTTTGGTTTAGACAGAATCCAACCCAAAACCGGTCCATTGACACCCCTATATACACACGTGACACGTCATCCGCAGATTTGAGAAATGGCCCATGTCAACAGCACTCGATGATAGTGAATTGCTACCTATAATTGTATCTTCACTCTTCACTCTTCAGCACTGGATGGACTCCTTCAGTCCCAAGTAATCCTAACCAACCAAAATATCACATGTTCCAGGAATCCAATATGCCTATTACGATAAACAGGAATGAAAAACCAAGTATATATGCACAGTAAAGGCAAGATAGACGCAGGGTTAGATGCTATTAACAATACATTAAATATATATAGAACTTTAAGGCCAACATTTAGATCCAGCCGTTGATATTGCATTACATGGACTAGAACTAGATATATCCAGTTCAAGGAAGAATACACGAAACTCGTTAACAACCTCCTTTTAACGCAGGCATGGAACGTATGCTTCATGTTAGGACTGCCTTCAAGGCTTCAACTCAGCCGTAGCAGCGGATTGGATCATTGCAGCCTTTCTCGGTTGACTGCTTGAACCCAAATCGGCCTCCTTTTGCCAGATACTGTTGATGGTACTCTTCTGCTCTGTAGAATTTCTTTACTGGTAGAATCTCGGTAACAATTTTCCTGCTTAACTGTTTCTGCTGTTGTTCCATTGACTCTCGTGCAGCTTTCTCTTGCTCTGGCGTGTAATAGTATATACCAGATCTATACTGTGTGCCTACATCATTCCCCTGCATATTAGGAGAGATAAAATGAATAAGTAAAACTGAAAGTTCAAAAGTTGAGTGTCATCCAATCTTGAATAACAAAGAAAAGATTATGATTTTTTCTCTATTGCTCTCTGCCAATTCAATGGTTCCATATTTACTCGTCATCTTCTTCTTCTCCCCTCTCTCATAAAGGGAGAGGGGCTCAATTCACAGAAGGCAACCATTGGAATCAAAGCTCCATCGTCCACCCCAAATCATGTTCAAGCCAAGGATGAGAATGGAGAAGTTTATTACTAGAACAGTCAAACTTTGAAACCATAGAGAAGTTTATTACTAGCATAGCTTCAAAAAAAATTATGAGATGTATGTTGGTAGCATACAGGTATCTGGATATCAAATATTGTTGGGCCATCCAAAATCCAGTTGGCATTCCAAAAGAAAAATATCATAATACGTGAAATAGGTAGAAACAATGTTTTAAAGTGCAGATCAGACAGAAGCACACACATCAACCTAGAGAAAGATCGCAGGTCAATTGCACCTAACCCAGAGAATTTAGCAGGAGCGGATAAAAGTCTAAACTGAAGATGCAACCTGCCCAATTGCGTTTCTCTGACAGGTCACATGCAATAAAAGGAAACAAATCACAGGAAATTACAGTTACAGAAGAAAACACATACTCAGTTCAGTAATTTACATCGTACAGAGAGGATGGATCATGGATCATTAGGAACACGGTTAACAAATAGGAAAATAATCTTGGATCATCATAGTCATAAAAATACTAAGTCAGTTCCCCTTTACAGCGAAACTTATGAACACTATTGCATGCATAGATATTGATGAAAGTAAGGTTATATTGTCAGGATATTATGCAGAATTTTGATGAGACTGCAATCTGCTAGCACAGCTTGCTATCTTAAAGCTATAGCTATAACTTCCTCTTTCTTGAAATAAGAGATTCTGGCATATAAGTGCAACACTGTTAGGAGCTTGAGTGAAGTCGTAGCTAAGCCAGCCATAGAAGTATATTCCAGAAGAAAGAAAAGAGGAGCTGGAAGCCACATCAGTAGCAACTTGACAAGTTGAATACAAGAAACTGTTAGAAGATTACCTGAAACTGTAACTGTCAATTCTTGATAGCTGTTGATTCTTGATTCCTGATCTTGATCTTGTTGTAAAGCCTATATAAGAGGCAGTATAATAAGGGGAATGAAGAAGATCGTGGATTGCCATCTCTATCTCTCTCTCTCTCTCTGAATTCTGGAGGTTCACCCCCTCAAAGTGGTGGTTTCAGTCCAAGGATAACAAATCCGGTACCAGAGTTGATTGGGTAGCGGAGATGCTGAGTACACGGTCTGAAACAATGGAGGATCAAATAGATAGAATGGAAGTGGGCTTGCACAAAATGTCTGGTGACATTCAGAAACTGAAAATGACTCTTATGGTGGTAATGCTGCAACTCAAAAAGGGGAACACCAGTCATAATCGAGAAGGAGAACAAGAAGCTGTCTGCAGAGACACAGGTCGAGGCGGCAGAGGTAACAGAGGTAAAATATTCTTACCCAAACTGGAGTTTCCGATGTTCGCTGGTGAAGATCCAGTGCCCTGGATTTACAAATCTGAGATGTATTTCAAATTCCATGAAACCCCTAGTAACCAAAGAGTTTTGATTGCCTCTTTTCACTTAGAAGGAGAAGCCATCCTCTGGTTCCAATGGCTTTGCCAATCCCACCCTCAAGTTTCTTGGAGTGATTTCACAGAAGTACTATGTGTAAGATTCAAACCTTCAGGGTTCGAGGATTTCGATGAGTCACTGTCAAAACTCAACAGGTGGGATCAGCGAGGGCCTATCAGATCAAATTCGAGAAACTCACTACTAGAGTACAGGGATGACCAGAATTTTTTTTTTTTTTTGTGAGAAAAAATTAACCAGGATTCATTAAAGGAAGAAGAGGTACATGAGAAGATGTACAAAGCAGGGGAAGAACCCAACAGATTACAAAGGAGGAAGCTTGTTGCTATACAAATGATCCAAATACACGCCACTGGCTAAGCCATCTGCTGTATGATTGTGTTCCCTAGGAATCCAAATTAATTTTACATTTAAACAGTCCAAAGAGTCCCTAGCCTCTGCCAAGTAGTGGCTCAATCTCTAAGGTCCCCCCTCTTTGTCTCTTAACCATTTTATAGTATTTGCTGAATCACCTGCAATGATTAAATTCTGGATTCCCAAATTTTTTATTATTCTGATTCCTGTGAGAGCAGCCATCACTTCGGCCTTTGTGGAATCAGCCAAACCAATTGTACCGCTGAAAGTTCAACAAATGTTGCCGCCCCTTTCATCCCTTACTATGCCTCCAATACCAGCTAAGCCAGGGTTACCTAAAGCACTTCCATTGAAGTTTAGGGTCATCACTCCTTCACAGATGGGATCGGGATGTCTCAAGCTTGTTTGATGGAGGTGAGGGAGAAACAGAAAAGGGTAAGCATCTCTATTGAGATCAGTGACTGAGAGTCCTTTGAACAGAAAGGGGTAAGACCCCCCCCCCTCCCTTTCAACTAATGTTATGCATCTTTATTCTTCTTAACATAAAAGATTTTTATTAAAAATAAAGAAAAAATGAGATCCCCCCTTCCTCTTCATCCTCCTCCTAACCCCCCTCCTCTTAAGGAGGACTACGCCTCCTTGTGTTCGGGAGGCTTACGCCTCTTGCATTCTGAACTACGCCTCACGCCTCTAGGTAGTGGAACGCCTCACGTCACGCCTCCGTGTTTTAAAACCTTTACCTGAATACATGGCTAAAATATTTCCATCCTCTTCCCTCATTACCCCACCAATACCCGATGGGCCATGATTGCCCATACAATTGTCACCAAAATATTATGGTCCTTATACAATTCTAGAATGCATTAGCTCAGTTTCTTACAGATTGGACCTACCTCCCACTTCATGCGTCCACCCAGTTTTTCACATCTCTTTACTTAAAACATGTTTGGGTCCCTACCACACCATGCTCAGCACTACCAGATTTCAATGATTATGATGTCCTCCAATTACAACCCAAGACAGTTCAAGACTACTGATGGGTTAAGGTGGGAAGGAAGATTGTGAAAGAAGCCCTGGTTGAATGGATAGGATTAACAAGAGATGTTGCAACTTGGGAGACTTGTTCGGTGCTGAAGCAGAAATTTCCTTGATTCCACCTCAAGGATGAGGGTGCCCCGTCAGGGAGAGGAGCTGTTAGGAGATCGAGTGAAGCCATAGCTAAGTCAGTCATACAACAACAAGTATATTCTAGAAGAAAGAAAAGAGGAGCTGGAAGCCACGTAGGCAGCAACTTGACAAGTTGAATACAAGAAACTGTTACAAGATTACCTGAAACTGTAACTCCCTCCCTTCTTCCCTCTCTCAAATTCTAGAGGTTCACCCCCTCAAAGTGGTGGTTTCAGTCCAAGGGTAACAAACACCCAAGGCAAGGGAAAGAAGATCTCAGAAAAACTGCAAAACCAAAGTGCCTTGGTTTAACATAGAAACCTACTACCTTGTCTAAAATTCCAAGAACACTGGAACCAGCAAACAACTAGTAGTTCAATAGAGTGGGGTCATTAGTACATCCATGATAAATGTGGAGTACAGAAGCTAAGGCCATCCTGTAATGGAATTCATAGAACAAGCCCTTCTCTTTTAAGTATCCCATGATGGTGAGGAACTTCTACCCATTCCCCTATGTGGCATTCATGCACATATATCATGCTTGGTCATCATAAAAGTAAGTGGGATCTTTAGAGACCATACTGAATATATCTTGATTAGCTAACAGGCCTTAGCTGGTGAAAGAATATTTCTCAGTTCTCAGGAATAAATTGCTTGCACTTCTTCAAGGATTGAAACTAGCCTTCTCATTGGGATGGAATGGTTTAATAGTAGAAGGGAACTGCCAGATGGTGTTTTGGCTATCCTCAAGCACAGATGCACCTTCGTCCCCTGGATTCTTAAATTCTTATTTAGAGCAGCGAAGGCATTGTTAGCAAGCCTGAATTGCCTGCTCAGGTGAGCTACCAGGGCATCAAATAGTCGTGTAGATGGAAAGAAAGGAGAAACAAGAGGTAATTCTGCTTTGTGGTAACCATGTTTGGTAGACAATTTGTAAAATTGTGTTTTATTTTATTATAGTTGGTTTGTACTCACGATATGGTTGCCTGGGATGACTAAGCATTGATCAGGTCAACCAGTCAATTAACGGCCAGTCAACCACAAAATCATTACAAAGTTTTCTTTTGGTTGCTTGTATCTCTAATTATTTGAAACAATATGAAATATGCTTACATTTTATATTCATCTTGTTGCTTTAAATGTTTCTGATGGAGCATGATTGGATGATGGTATATAAAATAGAAAATAAAAGAAGGGGGGTTTTTAAGTTTTCTTCCAATCAGTGGTGTCTTAGTATGGAGTTACCACAAACAAAGGGCACAACAAAAGTTAATGGTTTGCCCAAGTTAATAGTGGGTCAGACGGTTTTTAGGGAAAAAAAAAACTAAAAACTGGGGTTTAATAAACCAAATTCCCTCTAGTTCCCAAGTCTGATGGTCAGACCAACCAGTCTGGTCCAAGTTTTACAACGTTGGATTGGGGTTAAGCTCAAACTCACATCAACTAAAACTCTTCCAGTCAAAACGTGAAAGTAGTTATTAAATCCTTCAACTAAAATTGCTCTAATTCCATATTGTTTGCTCTCTTTCTCAAACTGAAGATTTAATACAAATAACCTATGTCCTGTAGTTCTTTGGCTGAGGCCATGAGACCCCCATCATTTGATGAAGCATCTACACAAAAATAGTTAAAAGAAATACCCTAATAGCCCAATTGGTTGGATATGGTGTTACTATTTATTTATATAAAAATTGTAGCCATGAATGTTCAAGTCCTACATAAGTAAATATTTACAATACACCCTATAAAGGGTGTGTTCTCCAGTACGTATGATTTAATTTTTTCAAAACAAACAACTGCCACACCAGCAAAATCATAAAACTCCCATAGGCCATAGTAATTAATTACCTACCCACAATCAAATTCAAGGTTGATTCAACAATACATAGCAACAAGCCAATTTAGGTGCACCCCCACAATATTTACCTACTCAATCAAATTCAAGGTTGATTCAACAATACATAGCAACAAGTCAATTTAGGTGCACCCCACAATATGAGCCTTGCACGTGCTTTTAAAACTTTGAATATTCTACAGTGATAGATGCTCGTACACTTTCAGATGCTGTAGCCCTAAACTTGCGCAGTAGTCAGAAACTTCATGTAAAATTATAGGGTCCATTTGGTTGGCGGGAATAGGGGTCTGGAATCTTCCAACCCTTCGGTACTTCGGTTGGGCAATAGGAATTCTATTCCCAATCCTGGTGGAATGATATTCCCCGCTTTGAGGGAATGGTCATTCTCTCCCCTCCCTTTGCTAGAAACCATTCCAGCCAATTCTCCCAATTCTGATTCCCATTCGTATCCAGTCTGAGCCAAAACACGCGGGGGAATAGACCATTCCGGTTCCGATTCCGACTGCAAACCAAACGGACCCTAAACTGCTCATCATAGATAGCCAGTAGTTCCTGAGTTCCTCTGCACTTCATAGTCCTAAATCAGACAACAACAGAACTAGTAACAACATAGACCTAATGGTACGTTAGTACAAATATTTCATAAATCCACTCAATTTTCAGTGAAGTTGTCAAAAAAACTGAGAGTCCACTCTAAAAAAAGAACTAAATTCAACGCAAGTACCACGAAACAAGGACTAACCAAAAATACTAAATTCTAGCAGAAACACCAAAAATTCTACAGACATGCCAAAATTCTCTACCACAAATAAAACAGTAGCAATAACCAAGAAAAACGCAAAAGCAATTAGAGACGCCTCTTAAACCAATAAAAAAACTAAATAAATCACTATACCTGCCGATTAAGCGTGGTAGGATCATGGCGAGCCCAAAAAACATCAAGCAAATTCTCGTAACTGCACTCCTTGGGATCGTATTGAACCCTAACAACCTCGGCATGCTGCGTGGTCCCCGAGCAAACGTCGTTATAGGTCGGATTATGCGGATGACCTTGACTGTATCCAACCTCCGTCTTGGTAACTCCGGGAACTCTCTGGTAAGCCAACTCGACGCCCCAGAAACATCCGGCACCGAATTGAGCGAACTGCTGCCCGGGTGCGGGTATGTCGTCGTCGGGACCTTGAGCGATGGAAGAAGAAGAAGAAACCGCGGAGGTTTCAGCAGCTCGGGTGYCAAAACCTAGCCCTAGCTTTCCCAACCAACTCATGCGGCTGGCGAAGAGAGACAGTGATTTGGAATTACGCGGAAAGGTCGAAGGTTTAATGGAGAGCTTAGCGGGAGGGAGGAGAGAGGAAGAGAGAGTGGAGAGGCGAGAAGTAGAGACCAGAAGTGAAGGAGATGACGAAGCAGCTAAGCCGTGGAGCATTGTGTTTGCGTGGTGTGTAAGTGTTTTAGTTGAAGGAGGTAAAGGGGTGTGGGGAAATTTCTTCTTTATTTAAACAAAACGTGAGTAATTGTGTCGATCAGTGACGTGGCTGTCAGGGAGGTTGGTTTGGAACTTTGGATTTCTGGCTACGATTTGACTCACCAGCTGCATTTTGGTCCTCAATTTTTCCTTCGTGGTTGCATTTCAGCCTTTCAGGAAATTTTTTTAGTGAAAAAATAAAAAGGGAAATGACAGTTGGTTCGGGCTGAGGTATTTCCTTTTTAGTAAGGTGCCCCCGTTAATACATTGTCGATAATTGATTTGGAGTGAAAGAGGATCACATTAATAGTTAGGGGATTTAGTGGGATATGTAATAATGTCTAATTGAAGTTGGGTAAGAGAAAATTAAGGGTCGTCAATTACCTTTTAGAATATGAATTTCAAAATTGAAATGGGGGTGGATTCTTCAAATAAACTCAATTCATTATAAAAGGGGGGATGGGATGAGAAAAACGAACCCTTGGAAAGAAGAGAGCTAGTTCATCTATAAAAAAGAGAAGATAAAAAATAATAATAATAAAAGAAGGAAGGGAAAAGACAAAAGAATTTGGAAGAAGTCTAGTTCATGAGTCAATGCTAAACTGTTGAAGTTTCAAATTAAATGTTGTTAGTCACGTGCATGTTGAGAGATTTTCAACTGAAATCATTCTCTCCTCTTCGGCTCTCTCCAGCAATTCCCAATCAGAAATTCGGCTTCTCAACTGTTGAAGCTTCAAAACTACTGCAGTCCCGTGTCATGTGAATTGAAGAATTTGGTCCTTTGAGTTGCTGTATTCAAGGAAAGCTCTCATCAAATTATTGCAAATAAGAAATCTTCTATTAAATTGTTGTATTCATGAAGATCTTTGTTGAATCATTAAAAGGAACCTCCAACCATTAAAGTCGTCAAGCTTTACGGGTTGTGTCCATGACAAGCTACAAATGCAAGTTCAATCATGTCCATGACAAGAGAATCAGAGGGTATTTCTTCAAAGAAAAAGAGAGTTTGTATCCCATTTAAATTTCTGTAAAAAATAAATAAATTTCTTTGAATTTGTCCGCATGAATTTTTTATGCTCCAAATTTAGCGCAAAATTTGTGTTGACATTGACTAGTAAATGACCGAGGCTAGAAATGACTAGGAAAGTTTTGAACAAAACATTATGCAAGGAAATAAGTGTCTTCTTAACTATAGGATTGGATTAAGTGACCTATGGGGACCATGGTTTTCAAAACTAGATCGGACCAGAAAAACCAGGAATGGGTCATCTGATCGGTTCCATTTTTTCCCAAAACCGTTGATTTTAGTCAGCAAACCGTTAAACTGGCCAATTAATTGTTCAAATGGTTTTGACCGTTTCTTCAATTTTTTTAATTTTTTAATTTTTTGTTTGAACGGACCAACCGTTCAAGCATTCAACCCGGTAACCGGACTCCTAATCAGTTCGATCGCCGGGTCAATTTTAAAAACCATGATGGGGACGATGTCAACAAATACTACAACTAACGTATTATGAAATAAGTGCCTTCTTAACTAGAGAAATTAATTGAAACTAAAGAAAAACAAGACAAAGGTAGCGTTGGCTAATAAGGGCTGACATAATTAAATGAATGTGACGGGAATTGCTATAACGCCAAAATGGTTAAGTGAGTGGAGTCATGCACATGTAACAGTTGTAAATAACACTTATAAATGTTTGAACACACACTTATAAGTGACAGGAATTGTTTGAATACACACTTATAAATGACACTAAAAAGGGATGCTAGAGACTAATTAAAATGGTAAGAAAAGAAGGAAATCTGTTGTAAATTAATTGAAAATTTTGAACTCGTTAAACTTGCTATCGACTAATTAAGATGTTCAATAAATAAACAAAAAAGGAAAAAAATTAGCCTTAAACAAATTAAATGGTTGACATATGCTGAAAAAAAAAGGGAATGAACGCAAATTATCTCTAAATAAATTAATCAACGTTTTAAAAAATGATCAGGAAATAGAACCATTTTGGCCACCAGTTTTCGGGTTGATAATCTGCTTGTCCAGTTCAAATGAACGGCCTGTTCTGACAAATAAATTAAAAATTTTTTACCGTCCGAGTCAACAGATTATTGACTTTTTCAACGGTTTTTTACCAAAACTGGGTTTGAGGGAAAACAGAACCAGTTGTCTAGACAGTTCCCAGGCCAAACGGTCCGACTGTCTGGATCAATGGCGGTTCAAAAACCTTGAAATTAATAATCAAAATGAGCAAGAAAAAAAGGAATAAAATGATGTAACTAATATTTATTCAAAACAATAGAACAGTTCTATGCAAAACTCATTTTCCAACAACCCCGAAGAATCAATCCTAATTGACTATTTAGAATAAAATGGATATTAATAAATACCATATGAGTTAAATTACTAATAAGGGACTATAAAGGCAAAATTAAGTAAATAAGAAAGAAGAAGAAAAAAATGCCATACCTTAGAGAATGAATGGAAGTATTCTCAACTAATCTTCACATCGGTGTTAGCTTTGATCCTTGAAACCCCTTCATGCAGTTGATGCTATGGTGGGATCAATCTCTCGTGGGTGTTTACACATGGATGGAAATGTGGCTCAATTGTTGTAAAAATGATGCTAGGTCTTGTATTTGCATTGTCTTTGTCTTCAAAAACACTCCATGCTTCTTTGCTTGATTATATACACGACTCGAGGTTTCTTACTCTCAAATCTCTCTTGGACTCTCTATGGACGTGAGGAGGGAAGGTTGGGGTTGTTTTGGACGTGAAAGGAGGTATTGTCTAGCCTAATGTGGGTAGAGTTCTCTCCCTAAGGTAGAGATTGTGTGTCTCTTTGTGTGTGAGAAAGGGGGTATTTATAGATTTTTGAGAAGGGAATGGAGATATGAAATAGGTAGACAAGGGAGATCAAAGGAGAGTATTTAAAAAGTTTTTTTGGAAGGAAATGAATAAAGGAAGGGGTTGTCAAGACAGCTTTGGGGGAGATTCCCTTAATCAATTAAGGCAATAAGAGGAAATTTTTACCAATTTACCTAAACTTAACATTCCAAGTTTAGGAGAATGCCTTAATTGATTGGAAGCTCCTTAGCTGGTCAAATCTTGAATTTTAAGATAGTTCTAGAGTCTGGGAGGAAATTCTGGTCGTGGGATGCCCTATGTTCAAAGTTGCAGTAAAGAGGATTCCATACAGAAGGCCTAGATCGAGTCTAGCTTCCGGTCTCAAGATGGAGGGGTTAATAGTATTGGAATTGGATGATCTTGGTACTGTCAGAATTTTGAGACATATCAATTTATAAGGTTGGATTTCAGAGTTCACATTGCATAGGGTTCAGGATAAAAATTGATCCTGACTGGATGATCAGAACCGGTTCCAACTTTGGGTCTTGAGATGAAAGGGTCAACGGTGTCAAATTTGGGTGATCTTGGTGTCATTGGATTTTTATTTTAAGGCTCTACGTTCCTATGATTTTGGATTTCTGATTTGATGTGAAATGATATTCATGATCAAAATGATTCTGATTGGACGATTGAAATTGGTTCCAACTTCGGGTCTTAAGATGAATAAGTAAACGGTGTTGGGTTCGGGTGGTCTTGGTGTCATCAGATTGGGATTTTGGGGCTCTACGTACCTATGGTTTGGATTTCTGATTTGACGTAAAATGAGATTTATGATCAAAAGGACTCCAATTGTATGATCAAAATCTGTTTCGGCTTTGGGTCTTAGGATGAAAGGGTAAGCATTGTCGGATTCAAGTGATCTTGGTGCCATTGGATTTGAATTTTTGGGACCCATGTACCTATGGTTTTGGATATTTGATTTGACATAAAATGCGGTTTAGGATCAAAACGACTCAGATTGGACGATCAAAATCGGTTTCGGCTTTAGGTCTTAAGATGAAGGGGTAAGCGATATCAGATTTGGGTGATCCTAGTGTCATCGGATTTTGTTTTTTAAGCTCTACATACCTATGGTTTGGATTTATAAGGCCCCAACTTTTATAAAATTCCAAAAATGCCCCCAAGTCAATTGAAAGGTTAGCTAAAGCATGCTTGAAGCTCAAAGTGCTACAGAAAGACTGAAGGGCACAAAAATAGGGTGCCTACAAGGCTAAGAAGAAGCGAAGAAGAAGCCACTTGGTTTGGATATCCTCTACCTCTAACATGGAAAAAGCCTAGAATCAACAATGAAGCTACATAATAAAAAAAGTGTCATTTACTAAAACACCCCCCATACTTTCATAGATTTACTAAAGGATATCCTATAGTTTATGTTTTACTAAAACTCGACCTATAGTTTACAACTGATTTACTTAATCGACCTTCTATCAAGAATCTTTTTTTTTTTTGATAAAATACAGAAGTTCATAAATCAGAATTTCTATCAGTTACAAATCCATATGCATCAAATAAAGAAATAAAGTACAATTTAACATCTTGACACTTTGAGTTTGATACGGTATGCTGGTGTCTAAGGGAGGCTAACTAGACATGCATGTATGTGATATTGATGTTGAGTCTGGTTTTGATATCACGACACTCTTTAAGGTTGATGATATTCCACTGAGGCTCCACACAATCCATAAGACTATCAATAATGAGTTTTGAGTCACCCTCAATAATAAACCTAAGATGATGGAACATGTTGGCAACTTTATGGGATTCCACCATAACCCATGCTTCAACTTCATTAATGGAATAAGCTCTAATTTCTTTACAAGAGATCCAAGCCATTTTACCATTTTCATTTCGCATGATTAATGCAATAACACATTTTCCATCACTTTTTTTTTAAGCATCAAAATTGATTTTAAAGGTTCCATATCAGTTTTTTTTCCAACCAATAACATTCTTTTTGTTAGCAATCTCTAGGGTGACATTGGCAAATAGTCTATTAAACTCCTTATGTTCATTTATTGATTTTTCTGCTAGGTATAACTTTATTGTGCAATACTTTTTCATTTCTTCCTTTCCATATATTCCATAAAGTAGAACTCACCAATTCCAAAAC